TTCACAGTGAAAGAGAACAGCTTCAGCATAAGTGGGGATATTTCCTTTGCCACTACTTCACGGGGTCAGTTGATGGTGCAAATATAAGCACAGGCTATGCTGGGCTTCAACAGCTAGTATTTGTTAATTGGGTTTTCAGGTCAGATCTGATAAATATCTGATTGCTGAACTCGCCACTATCAGCAAGCCACTGTTTTTTGGGAGTCATGTTGAAATACTAGGATTAAGTGCTGGTGCTTGAAGAAGTTCATCCATTATGAACTTTGCAACAGTTCAGCATATAAATATTTTAAATCAATAAATAAAGGCAGCATATACTGCCCTTCAGTTCACTTCTGCAACACAGCTCAATTAGTAGAACACAGAGGATAGAAATTGTTTTAACTTCTGGGTTTAAAGAAAAATTGCAAGATTTTTAACTCCACACAGATCATTCCATCAGACACAGGCATGCATAAAATAGAAATGTCTTATCCTATCAAAACAAAAGGAAATTTCATTTTCTGGACAACATACTGGTAATCATCTTTCCTTCCCAGAAGATCTATGATAGGAAAATTTATTAATTCGTGTACAAGAATGGGAGCTGCATGGACACTTTCCATCATTTCCAGAGGTTTAGTTTGTTGCCACAAAACCAACCATGGTTTTTCAGCAACTTAAAGACTAATACATTTAATCAGGCATTATTTTATGGACATCGTCCACTTCATTCATTGCATGAACAAAAAAGAACAAACATATCAAAATTTGACATCAGAAATAACAATGCTCAAAAATGAGTAGGGGAACATTTCACTTTCTAGAGCAATCTATCAATTACTCTAAGACAGCTGTGCTTAAACAAAGGAATTTCAAAGATACAGCTTAATGTGGAATTAAGAGAGTCAACTTCTGTTTGTGGTCTGAATAAGGACAGCTCTATATGTTAATCTATTCACTATTACAATTATGTCATCCAGTAATATTTTGTGAATGGCAACTATTATCACTACGTGAAATGTGCATTTAAATTCCCTCTGAAATTACATTCTACTTTCCTGCCTACAGCATGTGTACATAAATCTACCAATGTGAGATTAACTCCTCACGTATCTGGTGAAGTATAGTGTTCTGAATACAGGTTGCTGGAAAAATGAAGAGAAAGGTCCTATTGGTTCATATTTTGTTGGCTAGGGATGTATGAGAATTCTGTTCAGTGGTAAAAGTTTGATGGATTTTTTAGTTTGGCCCTTGAGTTACATTTCATTGTTTCCCTCCCATGCCAGTGTTGATTCAATTTGTACTATGTTGAACCAGCGTATGGATTTGTTTGTTTGTTTGTCTGCTTTAGTGGTTGGCTATTTGTGCATATTTGTTATTTGGTCTTGTAATTTTAGCAAATGTCATACCTATGCCGTTACAGAGGTAAAAAACAGAAACCCTTTACCCATCTATGTCCTAGGCAGCATCTCCAGTCAAAGTGCAGGAGATCATCCATGAACATTGAGAAAAGAAGGGTATAAATAAGTTGTTGCTTGCTTTTCTCTGACAGCTGTCAACAGATGTCCTGTTAGGTAAAAGCAAAGTTAGAAATGATTCCTTGCTCTTAAAAGTGGGTGATACCATTTAGTTTTAGATGTGGACCTTACTGTTATCAGTATCCTGTATGTTTTTCTGAGCATCTCTAAGTGCTCATGAAAGTGTAAAAGGGAGAACTACCTTATTTACAAATAACAATTTTGAAAGGAACTGTCAAAACTCAGGATTCCATATAAATGGGGATTTTGAAAGGGCTGAGCAGGGTTCTTTTCCCCCACAGGATGGGTGGGGAGAGGGGGATTCTGGTGTAGTCCACTGATGCTGTCACATCAGAAGTACTTCAGAATCCCATTGGACAGAAACAGAATTTCCAGCATAACCCATCCCTACTGTTTGTATATCTGAATGGGCATTGGAGAAACACCTCCTTATGATCTTAACGGAGCTTATTGCCAGGAAATTGTCCCTAGGGTTGCATTTGACACACTTTCATAATGATGCTGTGGGTGAGAGTCTACTTTGTTTTGTATATCTAACCTATAGAAACCTATAGGTTCAGCTAAGTGACTCAGACAAGAGGTAATGCATAGATCACATACCAAGACTTAAGAGCAATATTTCAAGAAGCACATGAATGTATGCATACATTTGACCCATCATATAGAACAGATATAGGGGGTGGGGAGCCTGTCACTGTATTGGTTGAACCCAAAGCTAAGGTGCAAAATGTGGCAGAAAGGTTAATCCAGTTCAGCATCATAGGCTAACAAGAACAAGTCAGTGAAATCTCTGGATGTATATTTACTTGTTTTGTGTTCCTCATTCCATGTGAGCAATAGTGCAACACAACCTCAACTCAACCTTTCCAGAATGGGGATTATTCTGATTCTTCGTCAGTTCTTGCAAAACTAATAATACACAAGAGGAAACTCCACAAAAGGCACCTAAAATTCACCAAGTTTCAGTGCATTCATTCACAAATAAATAAGCCAGGCACTGTAAGTGCAGACAAGTGCATTTCTAACATATTTCTCCAACACCAGTTCCTCTATTGTCTTTCAGGGAAAAAGAACAGAAAGGGAAAAATGGCTTCTTTCATATGCTTTGTAACTGGATTAAAATAATAAAACAATGTAACACTGAATAAGAACAGACCTTGGCCCATCTGTTCCTCCATTATTCCCAACAGCAGACAGCCAGATGCTTCTGGAAGCTCTCAAGCAGGGTATAAAGCTCATGACCTACAGCTGTATCTTCCTCATCTGGTACTTTGAGGCATACCTGCACTTAACTATCAAGGCAATTAGCTTTTGGTAGGATGGTACAATACAAGAGGGGCCTCCTCTGCCATGATTCATTTTGGACTTCTGCACAGTAGTGTTTCAAGTGATGAGCAGATTCATATATAAGGGTGCCTTCCGAATCTAATGAGGTCATATCAGCTGGAACTAGCAAAATAGACCCCTGGGTCTTAATGAATGTGGGTGGCAGCATAAATGCCTTTCAATAAAATTATGCAATGAAATACAGTTTAAGATAGGACTACCTGAAGGGCAGCATTCTTCCACATGTTCATACCTGTGAACTGAGCTTGATTTTGCTTTCTGGCAGCGCTGTTACATTTTTTACTTCCCTGCTGGTAAAATACGTAGATCCCTTTGGCTTTTGTTGCTTTGCAGTTTTATTGTATTGATTGTTTTTAATAGTGGCATTAGACTTCATGAAAACTATTCTCATAGGCGATGCCAGAATACAGTTCTATTAAATACATTTCATGCATTTTACCTTCAGCAGCTTCCTGGTTAGTTCTGGTCCTGGTCCCTCAAAATGACATATGTAGTAGTACATAGATGCGTCATTAAAATCATTGTAGCATAAGGTGAACCTGGGGAAGGATGAGCCCTCGATCCAAATGCAACCATGCAAGGTTGAATGCAACTGATCATTGCTACAGTGTTGGGAAATTTGGATAAATCCTGTCTGAAAAGCATTACTCCTGTGTGCCTTTGCATTGTGGGATCAAATCCTGTCTTCCTTCTCAAAACCAAGCTGTCACTGTTTAAAATGGCATTCATCCCCCGCTCCTTTCTCTCACCTTTAGCTGTAGACCACAGCAGACAGGCCATTTTAGCCCAAATATCCATTGTAAATGTTATAACCCCCCTCATAATCGAACATGGAGCCAGGGCATGGCTCGTCACAGGTAAAAAGCATGATCAGGGTGTCCTGTTTGCGTGAACAAGAACAAGAACCCCAACGAATGTGCACGCTACGCAAGGAGGAAAACAAAGCAGGCTACGCTCAAGCATAACCGCAAACGTCACGCCCTTGTACCCTCGCTTGCTTGCTTTAGCATGGGAAATGTGCAAAATGTGCAAATGTAGCTCAGTGGGGTTCCCCTATTGTTCGCTGTTATTCAAGCACCTGCATAGTTGTAAAAGAGTATAAAAACGGTGCCCTCCTTCTGCTCGGGACCGCACTCCAACGACTGTGGTCCCTGCAGGTAAATAAACTTCTTCTCTCGAAAATTCCAACTGGTCTCTGGTCTCATCTGTAAAACCGCGGCACACAACAGTAAATAGTCGTTGTTGGAATTCAGTTTACTATAATCTTTTGATAGCCCAGAGGGCTTCATGTGCCCTGATCATGCAGAATGTTTAGAGTCGAGATAAGGCTCTGAGCTTAGCATGAATAGTTTCTGGTAGCTTGAATTTGCATGTCTGAGCAGACCTGGAGATGGGTTCAAGTTACTCAACTAAAGTGTCAATACAGGCAATTAGAAATATGTTAATCTCATTGTTACAGTGTGATTGACCGACATTTCTTTATCTGTTCTGTATGTCATGACCTCAGAATCTTATTGTAATCTCTGCATTCTGTCATCAATTGCCCTGTACCTGTGTACCTATAAATGCCCTGTAATGGTATTGAAGCTTTGCAGTGAGTTTATCTCTGCGAGCCCGGTAATGCATTATCGTGAGTCAACCGTGGGAACCTGGGATAGACAATAAAGATGCGGAGGTTCAAAACGATTGATCTTTCCTACGAACCCGAGTTTTATTCCCTCTTCTCAAATTGAGATTCCAGGATTCTGACAGCAGTTATGATGGTACTGGGGTGATATCAGCTGCAGAACAAACAGCACATCTATCCATTTGTAGCTTTGTTCCTAGCGCACACATGTGTTGTAGATGCTACGGCCATGTGGATTAGACATTTACTTCAAATGAACAAATGTTAGTTTGATTACTTATTGAACAGTAGCCATGGGGTTTTTCAATGGTCCAGAATCTGCTAATCAGGACTCTAGTTACAATTTAGAATGCAATAACCAAACACACAGTTTAAGCATGTTGGTTATACAGAGCTTAAAAACACACAATGACCCTTAAAGGACAAATAGATACAAATCAGATACAGAGATGATAATGTTACATTCCTGGCTTTCATTTCATACTGTGACATATAAAGCTACTCACCTTGGCACACAAAAGATGATGGTGTTTCCCCCGGGTGGACACGGGCTGTAATAAACACTATTTTCTGCTCTGCTCCAGGACAAAGATTTACTGTAGAAGAAGACAAAGGAACAAAGAGACAAAAATGTTGAAATTGGATCCTCTTTGTGGAATACAGTTTTTCTCAGTGTTTATCTCAATAAACTGGAATCTAGCATTGCAACATGTCATGGAGGGCACAACTGAACAGAGCAAAGGAGGACTATCCCACATATATGTAGCTGTGGGATGGGAACACCACAAGTATATAATCTGATTTTTTAAAACAAAATCCTGATCCCTGCCTATCTTCTCTGTTGCACAAACTGCACAGGTGCAATGTACACACAAGAGAGCTATATAGGGGACACTAAGGTGGGAGGTAACCAGGATTCCCCATGATCTGCCGCTTCCATGCACTCAGCACATGGTCTGCATCCCTTTTTGCCATGCACATGTGCGAGTGCATCATAGGTGCAAGCCACATGACACTTATTTCTGACAAGGCAAATTGGACTGACCTATTGTAATTACTATGTGCATCATGCATTTTCATCAATGTTGTATACATTCTTCTCTAATTCGGCACATTGTCTTCCACACCTATAGCCATGAAACCCACTGAAAATCAATGCAGCTCCATACTTTGATATCACTGGTTCTTGTAAAAGGATCTAAGTGCAATACTTTCTAGAGAAAATGCCATATAACCACATATTGTTACCAAAATCATCCCACTTAATTCCCCTACCCCGACTTAAAAAATACCTCTTCCTTTGCATAACAGATCATTAATTTGATGCTTTAAAAAATAATATTCAGTTTTGCATGATAATACACTTTTCTCAACCAGCAAGCTTTCTTGATATATTTATTGGTGGTCTGATTTTTCTAAGAGTTGTTGTTGTTGTTGTTAGTTGTGAAGTCGTGTCCAACCCATCACGACCCCATGGACAACATTCCTCCAGGCCTTCCTGTCCTGCACCATCCTCCAGAGTCCACTTAAGCTCACACCAACTGCTTCAGTGACTCCATCTAGCCACCTCATTCTCTTCCGTCCCCTTCTTCTTTTGCCATCTATTGTTCCCAGCATTAGGCTCTTCTCCAGGGAGTCCTTCCTTCTCATTAGGTGGACAAAGTATTTGAGTTTCATCTTCAGGATCTGGCCTTCTAAAGAGCAGTCAGGGTTGATCTCCTCTAGGACTGACTGGTTTGATCGCCTTGCTGTCCAAGGGACTCGCAGGAGTCTCTGCCAGCACCACAATTCAAAGGCCTCAATTCTTCAGCGCTCAGCCTTCCTTATGGTGCAGCTTTCACAGCCATACATTGCAACTGGGAAAACCATGGCCTTGACTATACGCACTTTTGTTGGCAGGGTGATGTCTCTGCTTTTTAGTATGCTATCTAGATTTGA